TAAGACATCAAGATACGACATGAATTCAACATCATGCTCAGGAATAAGTTTGATATATTACAAAATTTGGAACCAGGGGACAACATACATGTAACATCAATCGACAAAAAGTGGGGAAAAATTAGCAACACCTACACTGAAACTAAAGAGAAATGTATTTGTTATAGGCAAAAACGACGGAATAAAGATTGGATATGTCTAGAACATGGATGTTGATTGGCTCAAGAAGAGATGCCAAAAAGAAAGTGAATGAGGCCAAATCTCTGAGACTTAAAGAGAGACATCAAAGGGAATACAGTGAAATAGAGAAGTGAAAAAGGCTCTACGCGCAGACAAGAGAGCACACATAGATGCCCTAGCAACAAAAGCAGAAGAGGCAGCCACTAGAGGAGAGCAGGGAAACCTTTACAAAATAACAAAGGCACTGAGTGGCAGGAATAGACCATCTCCAAATCTACCTGTCAAGGACAAAAGAGGAAAGTTGCTGTCATCAGAAAAAAAGATGGAGGAACGATGGACAGAGCATTTTAAGGAAATCTTAGACCACCCCCAACTCACGAACATGACATCAGTGATCCAGCAGCTGACCTAAACATAAGCATTGAACCACCACAAATTCCAGAGATTGTCTCTGCAATATTAACTCTTAAAAAATGCAAAAGCCCCTGGATACGACAACTTTAAAAGCATAATTGTTCAAAAAAGATCCATTTCTTACAGCCACAATTTTACATGCAGTTTTCCATGACATCGGAAAGAAACACCATGAATGGAACCATGGAGTCATCATTAAAATACCACAGAAAGGCAACCTGAATGACTGCAACAATTGGCGAAGAATAACACTTCTTTCCATCCCAAGTAAGATCGTGGCTAAAATCATCATCAGAAGGATGTCCATAGCTGTAGATGTCAAACTGCATAAAGAACAAGCAGGGTTTAGGCCATTGCGAGGATGTATTGTTCAAATATTTACACCAAGAAACATCATTAAACAGTGTACAGAATGGCAACAACAGTTATATATTAATTTTACTGATTTTGAAAAAGCCTTCGACAGCATTCATAGAGGCACTCTCCGGAAAACCGTGCAGTTAAATGGCATCCCACAACGTCTAAAAGATGTAATCAAGAGTTTTTATGTTAACTTCAGTTGCAGAGTTGGAAACACCAGCATCGAGTTTGACGTTACAACAGGAGTCCGTCAAGTTTGTGTGATGTCATCAACACTATTCATCATAGCCATTGACTGGGTCATGAAGAATACAACATCTGACATTTCGAGAGGCATCAGATGGGGTACATTTACAACACTAGAAGACCTGGACTTTGCTGCTAATATAGCCTTATTCTCCCACTCCCACCAGCACATTCAAGAAAAACCAGCAGGCTGCACAAATATGCAGGAAGCACTGGACTGAAAATAAGCATCAAAAAACAGAGGTCATGATCCTAAATGTAAACAACCCACAAGCGGTCAAAGTGGAAAATCACATCCTTCCATGCACCAACACCTTTACATACTTGGGTAGCAAAGTAACAACAGATGGTGGAGCAAAGACCGACATCAAAGAGAGACTATCCAAGGCAAGAGCAGCATTTATCAACCTGCAAATTGTTTGGAGATCAAGTCAGTATACAACAAGAACAAAGCTGTAACTATACAAAAGCTGCATTATACCTATCCTTTTGTATGGATCATATACCTATCCTTTTGTATGGATCAAAGTGTTGGAGAATGACAGAGAGCGACCTGAACAAGCTGTTGACATTCCATACAAAGTCCCTGAGAAGGATCCTAAGAATATTTTGGCCCAATACCATCTCAAATCAGGACCTTCTCAACAGGTGCCAGCAAGAGGATATGGCTACAATCATCATCAGAAGACGGTGGAACTGGTTTATCCATGTACTTAGAAGGGACTTGGACAGCATCATAAAGACAGCTCTCTTCTAAACGCCAGAGGGAAAACGGAAAAGAGGAAGACCCAAAGTCACTTAAAGGCGGACAGTGGAAGCTGAATTTAAAGAACAAAAAAGAAGCTGGGGCACACTCCAAAAGCTAGCCAGTGATAGACAAGGATGGAGAACCCTCGTTACTGCCCTATACGCCAAAGGCATCACGGGCAGTAAGTAAGTAACCCTAATCCCAAAGGGGTCATGTTTTAACCAAATTTCAATTCTGTTCCACACAACATTCGCATGCATCTATAAGAATATGAACCAATATGGTTTTAATTGCTGTTCTGGAAGTTTTGTTCCTGTTCATTATCCAGTTTGTAAAATTTATCCACCTTAACCAACAGATCCATAATCTTTTTTTTAAAAAAAAGAAGCAAATGGGCCACAATTCTCACCTGAGTAACTTTTCTTAAGATTTCAAAAAAGATTTTTATATTCCCATGAAAAATTGTAACCCCATATTAAAGACCCCACTCTAAGGGTCTCTAATCTACACAACACGGGGATGCTTCAATATCATTATGATTAACTTGGACTTGCAGTAATGGAGAAGATTTTTTTTCAAGTATACAAACATATATTATCTAAAATTTGATCCGTATTTCAGCAAACTCTAACCCACGATGCGTAATTTGAAAAAAAAATGAATCCACTCAACTTGGAAATAATTGCATATGAATGTTGTGATTGTGATTCTTGAGAAGATTCTCATAATTTATTTCCAATGAAGTCCAATGTAAAATTTTAATCCCCTATTGTGGCCCAACTATACCATCGGGTGGCCCATGATTTAAACAATTTAGAAACTACGACACCTCAGGAAGCTTTCATTGAAGTTTCTTTTCCTCTGGCCCAGTGGTTCTTGAGAAGATTTATAAAGATTCTTTCCTATATATTTTACTCTAATTTAAAACTTGGAACCCATATTGTGGTCCCACCATCCCCCCCCCCCCCCCCCCAGGGGGGGGGGGGGCATGATTTGAATAATTTAGAATCAACACTTTCTAGGGAATCTTTCACATGTTTCATCTCTTATAGTCCAGTGGTTCTTGAGAAGATTTTTAAAGCATTTTACTTATATATTTCAATGTTAACTTTGATCCCCTATTGGCGACCCATCCTTCCCAGGGAGGGGGGAGGGGGGCATGATTTGAACAATTTAAAATCTACACTACCTCAGGAAGCTTTCACTCAAGTTTCATCTCCTCTGTCCCAGTGGTTCTTGAGAAGATTTTTTTTGACCCCACCCTATCTTGCCTATTCTTGATTAATATTTCCTTTTGGAATAGGACTTGGCCCTTCATCTGAACAATTTAGAATCCCCTTCACCCAAAAATGCTTTTTTAATTTTGGTTGAAATTGGCCCATTGATTCTTGAGAAGTTGAAAATGTGAAAAGTTTACAGATGGAAGGACAGACAGAAGGATGGGCAGACAATGAGTGATCAGAAAAGCTCACTTCAGCTAAAAAAAAAAAGAGGCCCAAGGGCCTTAATGATCATCTGAGTATAATACAACAATGTAAAGGATCCATAGAAGTATAAAATAAATCAAAATAAACTGATAGATGAAGCTTTGTTGCCCAAAAGCAAGAGAAATAGGATGATCAGGATCAATGAAATAGTCTAGTACTCAGTAACAACTCATAAAGTAGTTCTACTTGCCCCCATTTATCACTATCGCCATGCAAACTAAACAAAACTATAGTATTTACTTCAGCATTTATCACTTCTCACAGTGGCCTCTCCTGATCTTTGAAGAAGAATTACCAGTATCAAATAAGTTACTTTTGTCTCATTTTTTATTTATCTATTATTAACAAATCTACTTAATCATTAAAACTGTGAAAGTATTTTTTGTATTATACAATATTCTATTAAACTTTCAATTACATTATTTACAGTGATTAATTATTCTAGGTGAATAGCAAAGGGGAATAACTTCTCTCAGTAGAATACAAATTAACAGAGCCCTGGCTAGCACCAGAACACTTCACCAAGTGGTCCAGAATTTCAAAAATCTGATATAAATACCCTTGCCTATTACAACTTTTACTCTGTTTGCCTCCTAGATGCCCAGAAACAAAGAAAAATTTCAAAGAAATAATGCACTTTCACTATGGATTCAACACAGCCCCACCCTAACACCAGAACCTATGACCCAGGGGCCATGATACTCATAATTTTGGAAGAAACACCCTTGCTCATCATAACTATACAATTATAGTTTCTTTATTATCAGGAGCAGAAAAGAATATTTTCAAAGAAATTATGCATTTTCACTATATAATCAATAGAGCCCGCCACCCCCTTCACCAGAAACCCTGCCTCTGTGCCATGAATGTCACATTTTTAGAAGAAGCATCCTTGCTTATTATAACCATGCACATTTTACGTTCTTCCTTGATGAAGTATGTTAGGTCAAATTGTGAGTGGTCACTAAGCTAAATTTGGATAGTGTGACTAGGGCTTTAAAGATTGCAAAAATTTTTATGGTTTTGGCCCCACCCCTCAAACCCCAAGGGGGCAAGGACCAGGAAATTCAGAATTTCTGTAACCCTTCATTTATATACGCAATATACCAAATATGGTTAAAATTGGTTCCCCAATTTCATCAGAAGTTGAAAATGTTCATATATATATATATATATATATATATGACTTGAACACAAACTGAAATCTGTACCCATAGATACCGGTAATTCAAATGTATTCCCATGTAAAACTATGACTCCCTATTGTGGCCCCACCCTACCCTGGGAGCCATGCCTTAAACAAACTTAAATTTACAGTATGTCAAGAAAATTTCAAAAAAGTTTCATGTTTTGGGGCCATGTGGTTCTTATGAATATTTATATATAACCCCCTTTTTTTTATTTTCTCCCCTTGGAAGAAGGTTTTTCATTTCAACAAATTTTAATCCCCTTCACTCAAGGATATTCAAATTTGGCTCAAACTGGCCCAGTGGTTCCAAAGACAAAGATGAAAATGTAAAAAGTTTATATGCTTAGGTAAACCAAAAAAAAAAAAAATCCTCCCATTGGAATATATATCTTTTATTAAATCAATAACTGTATTATAAATATTAAATCAGTCACTTTTTCAATGTGTGGTACATTGTAGATATTTGCTTATGGATATAGTCAGATATCTGCTATTTTTTTTTATTTGCAAGCATGTTGCTATGGGATATAAGGCTTACTGGTAAGTGAAAATCAATTTTTTATATCAACCATTTATGATATTCCATCACAATTTATTTCTAACACTCAAATTCTAATAATTTGGTAATAATTTAATGAATCACACATCTTAAAATGTCCCACATATTTCAACATCCTGAATTTTAGTTGTCCTTACAATCTCTCGTCTTGTCAATGGTGATGATTATGTTTTTCCATTCTCTGAAACAAAATAGTTTAATATGAAATCCATTGTACAATTTTATAAAATGCAAAACTGTCAAAAAATTAATCACTTCTAAGGTCTGAGCATAATCATTCATTGTTGAAAAATTGAACCCCCCCCCCCCCCCCAGCTTATGAATTGATACATGTATAATTTTAAGTTTTTTCTAAATGAATTTGGTATCTTTAAAGAAACTGGGGAACTGTTCCTTAATACATCCCAACTTCGATATACATTTATGCTAGAATTTTACTGTTTTAATAATTAACCAATCAATGTTTGTTCTTAAATAACTTGCATGTATCATGCACATAACATTACACATGAAAACATTATCTTACTCAGACAAAGATCTAGAAAAGGGGAATACAAGTCTTCTGAAATTCAGTAACAGACTAAATGTCTGGATCAATAACAAGAGGTTATTAACCTAAAAGTGAAAACAAAGTAAATATCTTATATATACATATATATATTTACATTTCTAATGTCTTTGTCCGAGATAAAATTACTGATTGTAAAAATACTTTATTTCTACATAAATCTACTGGTTCATCGGTAGGCGCGGTTAAAAAAAATCACATGCGGGGCGGGACAAATAGAGACAGAAGCGGGGCTATTAGCACGGGAATTTGCAGAATCAGGAGCATGTAAATATAAGGAATAACTGTCAGATTTTTTGGATTCATGACGATGATCAATCGATTGGCTTGCGTGATAATTTTATGCATAAACGCCTTCGGCGTTTATGCAAATTATCACGCAAGCCACTCGATTGATCACATCATGAATCCAAAAAATTAGACAGTTATTCCTTAAATATATATATATATATACAATATTTGTACTCAAAATAAAAAAGCACTGAATGTTCATTGTTCACATGTATGTATTTTAATTTCTTTATACAAGTATACATATGAACAAAGCAATTAAAATTCTGTACAATGTGTACATTTGTTTAACAAAAGTGTATGCACTACAAATGAATATTCTTTGTGAATATTTTTTTTTAATCTCCAAAAACTTTTCATCCCTTCATACTTTCATGATGAACTAGATATTATTTCATTTGTAGTTGGGCCTAAACTATCAAAAGTCATAAAATTCTATTTTCATGCAATCAAGAATTGATTACTTGGAGGAATAGGAGGACAGCAAACTAGTAAACATCTCACATGCCTAGCAAGCAAAAACACCAGCTAAGAAAATTGGATGTCTTTCTTAACTAAGATAAATGCTTTATCAATCATATAATAACCACAGATAACAATATAAAGAGCACCAGCAGATAATCTCATTATACATGCTCTGTATAAAAAAATTTGCTGAAAAATGTTACATTTACATTATGAAAAATATATAATTATGTTACATGTTCAAATAAAAAGCTAACTGCTAATTTCATTAAATGAAATTCAATGAAGAAGCAGTATATAGAACATATTTTATGATTAAGTGATTACCTTAAGATTTCCTGAGGCTATTCCTGACTCTATTTTAATTGACCAGTATAACTCAATTTTGGTATGAACTTTCATTAAGAAATCAATCTCAGCATACTTAAATGCCTTTTTGCTAGAACAGCAGACATTATATCTGATTTCAAGGATTAATGGAGATCAATGATAGGAAAATGACCTGACAGAGTGTTTTAAAAGCTACCATAATACTGAAAGCATCTCCTCAGAATTTACTTATGTTGTATAATTGTACAGGTGAATACTTTTCAGACATTAAAAATCAAAATTGCTGATGTAGGAAGATAGACTTAAGGACAGTTGTTCTCCTTTCACAAATTAATTTTGTTTCATAACCCAGTCAAATTACCCACAAAGGAAACTCATTAATTTTAAATGTACATCTGCGATTTTACTAGGCAAAGGAAGCAAGCCATTATAAAGGAAGGTGCAGAATGGTTTACCTTGCCCAAAGCATTCAAATCAGGAAAGGTATTTATCACCAAAATGAGTCCTACCTGTTAATGCTGTCTATATCTCATTTTCTCCATTGACTAGGTTAATAAACAAATAAGATGAGAAATTCTCATAATTCATTAAGTACTGCATTAGAACAGGTATCTACCAGGTATATTTTCAAAGAACTTACATGTAAATCTATGACAAGATGTTTAAGCTAAAAGTACAATGTCATGCACTTGTAAGTCATGATTTTTTAAGCATTACCGTCATGCATGAAATCAACAATCTAAAGTGCCTGTAATTGGCAATAGTTAAACAAAATTGTACGGTTTTTCAAAAATCTTGTATATCCTACATTTTATCATAATAAAAATACAAGAGGTTATCTAACATGAGAAAATAGCAGAATCTTCAAAAATGACACATTTTTAAGCATAAACTGAACATGAGGCAAATGGGTTATAATGCTCTCCTGAACTACTTTAAATTCAGCCAAGAGATATCATTTGAAAAACTGAATCTTTTACTTCCCAGGGATGCTTTATAATAACATTTCATCATATGGTTTTATTTTAAAGAAAGATCTTTGAAAAATTTGGTAAATTCAATCCCATCATTAGCCTATTTTTGCAAAAAGTGCAACATGCATTTAAAACTAATTTATGACTTGAATAACATGAGAATGTCAAAGCTACTAATACCCATATAATGATTTTCGATATATAACATGACCATATGCTGTAGTTTGAGTTTGAACAAGTTTGAATATACACTGATAACAAAGGGTTTTAAAGTCCCAAAAGCTAAGAGTTCTTTTTTGCTCAGTTTCAATTGGTCTACTTCTTAAGATGTCAGAACAGATGATGGACAAACTTCAATCAGAGATACTCTGTTGAGACTCTGCTTAGGTGAGCTAATAAATGTTGGTGTACTTAGAAGAAAATGACTATGCAAATGTATTTATTTCAAAATAACAATACAGTAAAACTTGTTTAGTAAGAACATAGATAAAGCGAATTTACAGGTATAGCCAAGGTTTCTGCAATCCCAGGCCAAATTTTTAACAATTCCTTGTAAAATTTTATGGATATAAAGAACTCAGATATAGAGAATTTACTGAATTTTTGTCCCCTAGAAGATAATAATAGTGTAATTTATATCTTCAATAGCAAATTTTCAAAATATTGAAATGACATTGATTTTGTACGTATTTATATTCGAAACTCAATTCATCCGAAAACTTTTTCACTCCAAGGCAAATTTTGAATTTTATACTTCCCTAAATACATTTTGTAGTCACACTTAATTGAAAAAAAAAAATCTATATTGCAAATTCGCTATGTATACTTCAAGGAATTCGATCTAGGGATACAACAAATAACGGATATAGTGAAGTAAATTCAAAGGTGCCCTGAACTTCTCTATATACAAGTTTTACTGTATGTGTTTGCTCTTTTCTATGCATTCCCTTTTCTGCCAAACATTTGGGTAAGAAAAAAATTTTAAATTGTAATTCATTGATTTAGAAATCACATATTGATGATATACTTGATAAACAATTTATAGATGAAGATGATATACTTTACAACTTTTCATGATTTATTCATGAGTCATGTCAAGCATGAGAGGTTGACTCTTTGAATGGAAGCATTAATATGACAAAGGAAAAGCAACAGTTTACAAAACATCTATACCTTCTTTCGGATAGAGTGTCTAGCAGAAAAAGAATTCATATTTGACACAACATCACAAAATGCTTTGAGGTTATTTTTTTTTTTTTAAAAATCACACTTCAACTCACTTTTGTACAGTAACCAAGAGACTATTAGTAAGACATAATTAGTAATTTTAAGAGTTCTAGTAAAGGGGAGCAACTCAACACCATACCTCTAACATTTCTTTTCCTATTTCAGCTGGGGATAATGTGACTGTGACACCTGCTGCTTTTAATGTCTCTATTTTTTCATCTGCTCCTCCTTTCCCCCCAGCAATGATGGCTCCTGCATGGCCCATTCTCCTGCCTGGAGGTGCAGTCAAGCCAGCAATAAAAGAAACTACTGGCTTGGCATTTGGACCCTACAAAATTTGATTGAATGTGCTTAGTTATCAATTAACAGAATTGATGCCTTTTTATGCCTTAACAAATGGTTATGTCCTCATTTGCCATTTATCATTTTTACCAATGGGTTTGGAATTTTTTGTGAAATAAGAAATCAATCATTTTCATTCATTTTTTTTCTCTGAATTAAGTTTAAAAATGAACTGCCTTTTTCTGGACTGGTAGATGCTCTTGATATCACCAAAGACAAATTAAAGCTAGCTACACTGAATTTTAGCTTAATACTTCTCCAAATTATTAAACATAAATAAATTACAGTACTGTATACAGGGTTATTTTTGCTCCAAGCTATTTTCGCCTTTCACACTTGCAAACAATTTTGCACATTTAAAATTTGCCCAGTCGCGGTTCTGTTTAACAAATTATACTGTGTTCTTTGAATTCGCCCCGTTTATAATTCACAAAACTGTGAGTAGGGCGAAAGGGGTGAACATAAAATGGGGGCGAAAATTTCCCTATATACAGTAATGGTACATAAAGTCTGGTAAGAGAATACATAATTCCTTGAGCCAGATTTATTTTCCCTAAACATATGTTTAAAGAATTTTTGAAGTCCACATATGTATTTGGATTCAATCTGTGGAAATGTTTGAGTTACATGGTTGTTATTTCTTTAATAGATACTCTGCTTTTTAATGTCTGACTTACGTGGTTGTTATTTCTGAGGTATTCTGCTGCTTTTTCCTCAGCTCCACCTCCAATCTCACCAATCAGAATTATTCCTAGGTTAAAGAACATTAAAGCTAGCATTTAAATATATCTTAAATGAAAAAAAAAAATCCTGCTTATGGTTTGTGATTGATAACTTCATTTCCAAGTATAAAACACAATCTCTCACTACTTCCATTCAGACATTCATGTATCTATAGAATTAACAAACAAGAGGCCCAAGGGCCTTAACGGTCACCTGAGTATAATACAACAATTTAGAGGATCCATAGAGTATAAAATGAACTGAAAGGTGAAGCTTTGTTGCCCAAAAGCAAGAAAAATAGGGTGATCAGGATCAACAAAATAATTAGTCTAGTATTCATTAACAGTTCATACATTAGGTTCTAATCTGTTCCCCATTTATCACTCTCACCAGACAGTATATTAAGAAACTATCAGTGCTTCTGTACTCTTTTAATTCCTTGTGGAAATCTCTTACATTGGCCTGAGTAAGACTCTCGGTCTTTGATGAACATTTAAGGTACTGTTATTCCATCCCTAATAGCCTCAGATTCAATGAATTTGAATACATAACAGATGTGTACGGGTGGAATACTCAGTATATTTAGACATAATCTACATTTATTACTATTAGCATGTAAGAATGGAAGTGTCCTAATTTATGACTTGACCTTTGTTGAAGAGTTATCTCCCTCTTTTTTTAAGTAATAAAAATCAATTTTAAAAAAATATACGGTAAAATAATTGTTTTCAATTGTCATTCTATTTTTAATGATTTAATGGATCTTTCCACCACAGTAGTTATTAGTCCCCTACCGGTGAAACCGGAGGGGACTATAGGTTTCCTCTGAGTCTGTCCGTCCGTCTGTCCGTCCGTCTGTCTGTCCGTCTGTCTGTCTGTCTGTCCCTCTGTCTGTCTGTCAGTCTGTCCCACTTGGTTTTCCGCACTTTTTTCCTAAACGCTTGCAGATATTGAGCTGATTTTTGGTATGTGAGTGTATCTTGATGAGTTACAGATCAAGTTTGCATTTCGTTCCGCTTCATTGATTTTTGACGGAATTACGGCCTTTTCAATTTTAACGGGTTTTCCGCAATTTTCTTCTAAACGCTTGTAGATATTGAGCTGATTTTTGGTATGTGGCTTTACCTTGATTAGTTACAGATCAAGTTTGCACTTCGTCCCGCTTCATTAATTTTTGACGGAATTATGGCATTTTCAATTCTTAACGGGAACGGAACCAGATTACACTTGCCGGTAGGGGACTAGTATTGCTAATGCAATACTCTCAGAATGCTTGTTGATATTCTTATTATCTGAATTTTTATTTTTAAAAAATCGCTTGTCTCCATAGACTTCAATGCAATTTCTATTAATTAAATACTGCTTAGTTAATTACGTTTCTGAAACTTTCACTTGGTAAATCCTTTTCTACTGTAAAGTTCTTAATTAATATCAGAGTATTATATACGTGATTGATATTTAAGGATAGAGAATTAGTTCCTATTAGGGATGGAAAACCTTAATAAGACAAGTCTACCTGATCATTAAAACTATGAAAGTACTTTTTGTATTATACAATAAAAATTCTTGCATAATTCTCTTATTCTATTAACCTTTCAAGTACATTATTTACAGTGATTAATTATCACAAGTAAATGGCAAAGGGGAATAACTCCTCTCAGTAGAATACAAATTAATAGAGCCCTGGCCTGGACTAGAACACTTGACCAAATGGTCTTGATGTTCAAAAATCTGGTAAAAATACCCTTCCTTATTAAAACTTTTACCCTTTTTGCCTCTGATATGCCCAGGTGCAGAGAAGATTTTTAAAGCATTAATGCATTTTCACTATATAATAAATAGAGTCCCGCCCTAACATCAGAACCTCTGATCCAGGGGTCATGAAATTCACAAATTTGGAAAAGGCATCCTTGCTTATCATAACCATGTATTTGTTTAAATAATACCAAGGAGAAGAGAAGAAGCTTTTCAAAGAAATAATGCACTTTCACTATATGATCTATATAGCCCCACCCTAGCACCAGAACCCCTGACCCAGGGGCCATGAATTTCACAATTTTGGTAGAGTCACTCTTGCTCATCATAACTATGTATTCGATTTGTTTCAATAATACCAAGGAGTAGATAAGAAGATTTTCAAAGAAATAATGCACTTTCACGATATGATCTATATAGCCCCGCCCTAGCACCAAAACCCCTGACCCTGGGGCCATGAATTTCACAATTTTGGTAGAGTTACTCTTGCTTATCATAACTATGTATTCAATTTGTTTCAATAATACCCAGGAGTAGAGAAGAAGATTTTCAAAGAATTAATGCATTTTCATTATATAATCAAAAGAGCCCTGCCCTAGCACCAGAACCCCTGACCCAGGGGTCATGAATTTCACAATTTTGGTAGAGTTACTCTTGCTTATCATAACTATGTATTCAATTTGTTTCAATAATATCCAGGAGTAGAGAAGAAGATTTTCAAAGAAATAATGCACTTTCACGATATGTTCTATATAGCCCCGCCCTAACACCAGAACCCCTGACGCTGGGGCCATGAATTTCACAATTTTGGTAGAGTCACCCTTGCTCATCATAACTATGTATTCAATTTGTTTCAATAATACCCAGGAGTAGAGAAGAAGATTTTCAAAGAAATAATGCACTTTCACTATATGATCTATATAGCCCCGCCCTAGCACCAGAACCCCTGACCCTGGGGCCATGAATTTCATAATTTTGGTAGAGGGCTAAATGCTTATTACAATCATGCCAACAGTTTGACTGCTTGATGTCCAGGAGTAAAGAAGAAGATTTTTAAAGATTGCATTAATTTTGATGGTTTTGGCCCCACCCCTCAGGCCCCAGGGGGGCAGGGGCCACAAATTTCACAATTTTTGTTCCCCTTCACCCATAGATGCTATATGCCAAAATTGGTTGAAATTGGTTCACTGGTTCCAGAGAAGAAGCTGAAAATGTTCAAAAGTTTACGACCAACGAACGACGGACGATGACGGACGAAAAGAGATAGCAATAGGTCACCTGAGTGACTCAGGTGACCTAAAAATATACTTTAAAAAAAAAATGAATTTTCTGAAATTCTATAACCACGAATATGATCAGTTTAACATTCATACCTTCTGTTTTAGGATCAGCTAAAAACACCTCCAAACAATCGATAAAATTGGTTCCATTAAATGGATCTCCCCCAATACCAACACAAAGGGTCTGACCGAGTCCCGTCTGTGTGGTCTGATGGACAGCTTCGTAGGTCAGGGTTCCGGAGCGAGAAACAATTCCTATACATCCTCTCTGATGAATGTGGCCTGGCATTATGCCAATTTTACACTCTCCTGGCTGTAAGTTAAAAAGATTTATAAGGCCAACAATAAAAAATGATTTGTTTGATGTACTCTGACTGACCTGTCAAAATTGCCCCTGCCCAGTCATTTTCTTACAGTACTTTAAATTAAAAAAAAAAAAATATTATTATTTTTTGCAGAAGATAAAATAAGATTGTCCGTATCATTTTCAAAGTCAGTGTTTATCATTTTTCTACGATGTTTTAGACTGCATGTTTTTATAGCCATAAATATTTAATCTGTTTAGTTGTCCTGTGTATACATTGTGTACTGCAACCATCAATAAATTTTTAAGTCTGTGACTTTTATGATGGTTATAAATGTGTGAAAAAATTTAAAATTGCCTACCTACTTACCCACATTGAAAAAAAAAGTGGATCAGAGTGCATCAAACAAAACCTTTTTAAATGGTGGCCTAATATATATATATATATATATATATATATATATATATATATATATATATTATTTCAAATTATTCAACAAGTTAAATGATCATTCAGGTGTAACATGCTACCCTGACTAACCCTGTAATTTGCCTTATGTCTTATAAGTTCTTTGTTTCCATTGGTATGAGTTTTGTTTTCTTGTGTTAATTGGTTTGTAAATATTCTGTTCTTTGTCCAGAACTTTTGCAGAGAGGTTGACTTGTGTATTTGAAAAATTACACCAACTGAATTTGTGACAATTTCTTCATCACCTGGTAAGCCAATATTTATTTACTTACTTTAAATATCTATAATATATTTCGATTAATTGTGAAACCTATAATTTTGGCAATATCAATTTGCACAGTAGGAAAGATATTTTGAAAGTTAGATTTTTAATAAGTTATTAGCACTAAAGCTAGTGTATTTTATAGTCCAGAAAATATGTACATATATATTTTGTGATAAATGAATTATGTGTACGGTAGTCAATGATAATTTATAGTTATCATCTGGACTCCGAGCCATTTACGAAGTAAATTGCCTATTCCTTCAGAATAAAATTTTATTGTTTTTATGACCTATTGTTTATTTACAAAAAGTATATAATGTCTAATATGCATATATGATAAGCTTAAAAGTAATGTTATATACTGTGTTGTGAAAGTATTTTTAATTGTATGTTCAAAGTATATTTCAAAGAGAGTATTGGATTTATGTTAAATGAATGTAAGAGTTATCTCCCTTTATGCAATATTGCGTATGTTTTGGATTGTGCATTAATTATCATGATTATTTAATGATATATTCTCAATATTGTTACGGTAGGGTCAGGGCAATCAAATTTGGTAAATAATAAATTATGAACCCTTAAAGGAGTTTTGTTATTCCATTAAAAGCAGAAACTACCCTGTTACAATTCAATATACTGTAAAATCACATATTTTTGTGGGGTCAAATTTTCATGGTTTTAGAAAAAAAAATTTGGGTTCATGGGGATTTGATTTAGTGGATGAAGAGTTGTTGAGTAGTAATATATGTGAAAATGACATTTTGTGGTGGACAAATTCATGGGTCTCTATGTACCTCTAACGAAAATTGAACACAAAATTTACTGATTTCAGTACTACATGTACCTTTACCAGTACAATCTCTTGATGCAGTTGCTTGTCCCCATTAGAACAGATAACTCTACCAAATGATTCACAAGTATATATGGAGACAAATCTTATTCAAACTTAAATAACTTTTTTGGGATCTATATTTTTCTCAGGAAGAAAGTAATGACTTTTCCTTTCAACTCTTATACCAAAAATATCTTCTAATCTGTAACTGAATCAGTCTCCCTGACTTACTTTAATAATGCCTGGACAGTTTGGTCCAATAAGTCTAGTCTTATCCTGGCGTACTAATTTATGTTTGACCTTGACCATATCCTGCTGGGGAATTCCCTCTGTAATGCAAACAACTAGGGGGATTTCTGCATCAATTGCTTCATTAATGGCAGCTGCTGCAAATGGTGGTGGAACATAAATAACTGAAGCATCACAGTCTGTCTTGTCCTTTGCCTGTAACAGGATACAGTGGATTTATTCTAATAGTCAGACTGTCATGTATGACTCTAATACATTGAAATTTGTATTAGATTTGAACCTTATGTTATATGTAAATAACTTACATACATTTTAGTAATTTGATGTTACAAGCAGTGATTAGAAATTGCATTTACCTCCTGAACTGAATTAAAGACAGGAAGACCTAAGTGGATTTGACCCCCTTTTCCAGGGGAGACACCTCCAACCATCTTTGTCCCATACTCAATGGCTTGCTGGCTGTGTATGGTCCCCTAAAAAGAAAACCATGAGTTTTATACAAACAAAAACTTAAGAGTAGCTGTAATTTGGTTGAAATTGCTGTTTGAACATGTTAGGGTCTCTATGAATATGTCTAGAATTTGAGAATGAAAGGTAGTTGATTGTCCAATGCTGAAAAATGGAGAAATACATCCCCAAGTGCACAGAAAAACTTGTGCTGTAAATTGCACCATATTTGCATTATGGGATCTGTACCATTATATATGGTCAAAGACTAAAATATAAAACCATAATGCTACAGTCCTGCAGCTTGAACCGTGACAGCCCTAGAACACTGAAGTCACTTTAACCATTTTTGTTTCAGATTTGCTGCATAAAATACTTTACTGCTTCATAATTAATATATGGTTACTTTTATCAGCAATATTCTGGTTATCCTTCTTATATACAAATATGTATACAATGATACCTGTTTTCCTGTGAATCCCTGGCAGATAACTTTAGTATTTCTGTCTATCATCAGATTTTTTCGTGTATTGGTGTAACATGATCTGACTCCAGATTTTGTGATGCCTGCAAACAGTTTATTCATATAATTATTAGGCCCCCCTATATGTTTAAATAGATAATTTTTAATCCTTTTAATATGCAATCACAGTATGGAAAATATGTTCATCTCATATATTCAACTATAAATGAGGACCAAAATTTGTATCATAATACCAGTCACCCTCAAAGTTTTCACAATAACTCATTTTCATACAAAAACTGAAATTTACGCTCCTGGGATTTCAATGAGCGATAAAACTCTGAAAGCCAAATGTGACACACATAATGCCAATCCTGTGAACATTAACTGATAAAGATGGGTTAAAGAATAAATGATGTGTGAAAAAAATCTTTTAAGCCCACACACCTTATAAAAAAATGAAATGTACACCGTAAACCAAACGAATTATTCAAAACATAGGTCTACATCAATTTAATCACCATATCATACGTTGATTATAGAGGAAATTCGAAATGCCAGTGTCACCTTGGTAAATAGGTGATCGAAGCAAATTCTAAATTTGCATAAATCTACATTTGAGTAAAATGAAACGGGTTTTCATTTAAAGACACATAAATATAAAAAATTAATTGAAAAATCTTACTCGAAATTCTACAAATAAGTTTTCCAGCCGCAGCCATCGTGGGAAACACTAAGTGTAGAACTTTGCATGCATAGAATGAAGATTTCCGGAAAGTAAAATCGTTGGCACAATAGAAATTCGCTGTAACAAATCATAAAAAAATCTTTTATACAATCTTAACTGCCATATCGTATAAACATTGATGTTCCTAACAATTATCTGGGGGCATACTTTGTAGGTGTCGATAATTATGTACTTTTACTTCATGGTTCTTAGTCGTCGTAAAACAGTGAATGCCCTAGCTCATACTCTTTACTTCTCATCACTCTTGCATTCGCAACCAAGTCAACCAAGGCTCGGGGATAAAATAACCCCAGACAACTCGTTGGATAAGAATCATATCCAACCACAAATCAAGAGAGATCCTATATTTATTTATTGAATAAAGTGTGAACCTACATCATGTTTCAAGTTTATCTTTGATAAACATTTAAATATCGAGCATTTCTGTGAAGGTTATAGGCCGAAAACTGTCCATTCTGTGAGAAGAGAAAGCTGTTGGAGGAACGTTAGGCCCGACAATAGTTCTTTCTTGTCACAGAATGGACAGTATGAAGCCTATAACCTACTCAAAACATTTATAATGTACTGTCTTAGAACTGTTTCATATATAATCATTGTATTATATAAGTAAACTTTGTCTACTTATTGGACTGTCTCGGGTAAATGTTGATGACAATCAAAAGAAACTTGCATATATTCATTGTAATCGTTAACTTATTGAACAGTTACAGATAAGTGCTATATTTAAATAACTGATTAAAGAATGTGATTGACCACAAAGCATGAGATACGAACACCATTTTCTTGTGATTGTAAATGTTGAAAGCATATTTCTGATGCGAAACGAATTGAGATATGATGACCAATCTAGTAATAATAAAGAAATAAAGATATCAATTCATTATCAAGTTACATTTTGGATTTTGAGCTTAGCTAGGATTGTCAAGATAATGTGCTTTGAACTCAAAGTGGGGGTTTTCTCAAATATTTCTCAATGACTTTAAAGGGAACGTAGAGATTTCCCTAATTACATCAACAATATTTAGATGATTTAGAACAGTCTTATCACAGAAAATGGAGCAGAAATGTAAATGGGCAGTGACTTTTGTTCTTTAATTGACAGAGAGAATGTTACACAGTACCCAATGTTGATGTTTTCATGCTTAAGGACATCGCCATGTTAGGTGAAAAAGAAATAAAAAGAAGCTTTTTTTAACGCTGAAGTCAGAAACAAGTCGGGCGAAAACTTTTGACCAAATACCCTTGCATTCCTATAACAGAAGAGACGATGTGCTCCTGCAGAAATAAGAAAAATAAATCTGAGTACTAGTGAGAAAGAAGAAGGACCGATTGATTCTTTCCAGGAAGGCATTAAAAAGAAGTGATATTCCCGGGCGTGTTGTTGGTGCAAGTTACATTCAGACCCGTAGGAAGCAATTTCAGTTGGGGGGGGGGGGGGGGAGGGGGCACAGCCATACATTTTCAGTTGTGGGGGCACTGTCAACTACCAACTATCCTTGAAAAGCAAAAAAAAAAAGGGGGCATCAGGACGTTTTTATTGAGGGGGCACAAGCATATAGTAGCTATGTTTTCTATAGTAATCTATATATCGGCAAAATTATTAGAGGGGGGGGGGGCACCCCCCCCCCCATCCGTTTCCTACTGCCATGAAATTCCAAAGAATTGGGTGATATTTCCTTCAAATTCAAGTTTTGACATTCGTTATGAGTTGGAATACACATTTCATTATTTATTGAAACAATTACAAAGTTTCAGTTTTTGTTTCTGTGTCTTGGAATATATATATATTTCATATTGATAACTTTGTGATACATGCATGCATGTTGGATTCATTGCTTAAACAAATATTTGTGTCTTTGTTGTGTTTTCCTATTCCAACAACTTACCTGTAGCCGTCCAATAAGTTACAAAATAACATTCCTTATATTTTTAATAATGGACAGATTTTTAAACTTATTGGACAGTTACAGGTAACTTATTGGACTGTCTTGGTTCTTTCAAGAAATAGAAAGTATTAAAAGAACAAAAGATGATGTCATACTAATGTTTGAACTAATACACAAACTCGAATTCCCTTTATTTCTAGATAATTTAAGAAGGCGAGGGACCAATCTCGCACACACAATTCTTAGATTTGTATTACATGTAGTAATTCATGGGCAGAACAATAAGGCAATATTTTTTTCGACGGTATGCAGTGGTACCTAGTGTCTTTTGCTATTGTCAGTAGCTATTCGTCCTCATGTTTAGTTCTATCCGGGGACTCGATGAGAAAGCTCCCACTTACATTAAAAAAAATCCATTCGTATTTTTAAAAGCTTTTGTCCAGGAACTTTCACAAATTGGCAACGTTTGTATGTTTCCTTAATTTTCATGCATTTTAACAAAGGGATAAAATTCATTTTAGTAGATCTACCTTAAGGGCGCTCGCTGTAGTAGATCAATAATCTCCATCCTCATAAACCATCAGTGCATCTGTCTCCATGTTTGCAGTCTTTTGATAACAAAAGTCTCTCTCGACCTTCCTGTCTAGACTACTTCCAGCCCACTCCCCCGCTTACAGACGATTGGGGACGGAAGCAGACTTCTCTCTCCCTTCTCCGTCTTACTGCTTTCTCTAGTGGTTACACTGATGTGGTTTGCAAACCTCTAAACTCATTTTCTCTTCAGCCTCCTTGACGATATTGATGGATTGTTATCTCCGCCCTTCTTTCTTCCATTTTGATCTTCGGAACACATACCCCCCCCCCCTCTCTCAAAGAAACCCATCGATGGTCGTCTCGCTTCTAGAGAGGCGAGGCCGATCGCGGTTTTCTGATAAGTTACTTTCTAATCATGAAATAAAACTTTTTAAAACACACCCCAGTGGCCAAAGGACTTTAAAAAATCGCCATCCCTCATTTTTAAATTTTTTTTTCATTAAGTGACAAAGTTTGAAGCCAGGATCCAAAGCAAAGATTTTTTTCTATTTTTTCAGACAGTTTTAAGTTTTTTTGTTTGTTGTTGTTGTTTTTTTAATATTCAACAAAATAAAGAAAGAAAGAAGAAGCAAAAAACATTGCTGTTAAATTAATATTCACACTGTCACTGCCAAACATTCATGAAACTAAATAAATACCATTAATGCTTTATCATAAACATGACCTTTCCATTCTCCTTTGATTTATTGAACACTTCATTCTGAGTTTCTATTTTAAACTCTTCTGGTAGCGGCTTATCTCGAGAAGCTTGCAGGATGTTAAAAGATATGCTTGCACTTTACGCCGACTGATACAGTATGACGAAAAATTATCAAATTGTTGTTTTAATTGTTCCATAATGGAACGGAAAACATTGACATTAATGGTCTTAATTAACTTCAAAGTAGCATTACCGTACACGCAAAATTAATGTAACACAGAAAATGATCGATATCGATAAAATTTTTTCCCAGAGATTGAAAGTCCATTGATCTTCTATATTGAGGTCCAACAAGATGGCTTTTCGGGTTTTCTCCATATCATTTTATGTGACTTCAACTCTGATTATTTTCTTACTGAACTTTCCTGTCATTATCATTTTAATCAGTGGACGTTGCATGGGGCGAAAAATCCGGAACGTCCACATCTTGAGCCTCAGTATCACCGATTGTTTGGTGAGCATTAGTAGCGTGTTTCTGTTCAACGCGCTTCGCATTACGGATGGAATTAAGGATCCTAGGCCTCCTCTGGTGTACGCTCGTTGCTGGTTTGCCCTAAGTATATACCTATGTTGCATTGTAGCTTCTTTGCTACATTTGTGTTTTATATGTGCAGACCGTTGGTGGATATTAACTAAAAATTACTCTTCAGAGCGGACCAAAAGGGTGTGTCGATTCTGGATAATTGTTATTGCAACATGGGTTTGTTCATTTATGATTGTATTCATACCATTCACAGCTTTGCGACAGGACCATAACATTACTGTGTGCACCATTCCACAACTCTTTTCAGATCATGACGCTCACGCTATTTTCCGCTCCTGGGCCATCCTTCTCTTCCTCGGCCTCTTTTTCATTATCACTTCCTGTGGATGGATGTTACATCGAGTTCTAAATCTTCAGAGAACTCTGGTATCCCCTACATCAAGCAAACGTAACCCTGTTTTTACCATCAGTAAACCGCGAGTTATCAACGTTCAACCCCAGTCTGGTCAGCGAAAAGAGATAAAGGAAGAACTGTCTTTTACATCACGCAAACCATGTGACATCAACATAAAACGGTTGTCTTTGAGAACTTTAAAACTTGTTTCTCATAGAAAGGCAGTTGTCACGTTGCTGATTCTAGCAGGTTGTCTTCTGTTCTGTTTATCGCCTTTGTGTGCTTTGTCTTTTCTAATGGGTTGGAGACATGCATTTCCATCAGAGGAAGGAGTGAGCCAGGATGCAATATATTTCGTGTGTGTCATTGCGAATCTCAATTCCGCCTTTAACCCTCTAGTATATGCATTTCGAGTGAATGAAGTAAGACACAACCTCAGGGCGTTGAAGAAGAAAATGACTTGTTGTATTTGTTCACTTTTTTGGAATAATGAGTCGTGATATAAGAAAACACCACAACACATAAAACTTTTACATTACCTTGTGTCCCTTAAACCAATTAATAAAGGTAACACTAAAAACTAACTTAGAATAGACAAAACTTTAACCTCATACAATTCCATTCTAGATTCTTTGCGATTACCATGTTTTTTTCTTTTTCTTTTATCATAATTTAAAACTTGCCTTATAAAAGTTTTTGCTTATATGAAACATTTCAGCTGCTTATAAGCCTTATATGTGGATAATATTTAAGTTGCGATAGTACTTCTTCGTTAGATGCTAGTGTTTTGTCTTTATATGCCGACACTTCATTATTTGTTAAAACGTTGGCATTCCGTGCTGATACATGATTCTTTATCATAAACTCATAGTGATACTTTGACCTTTTATGCTGATACGTCATTATATGCTGATATGTGTATTTCCTCATTATAATCTTATAGGTGTCTTTAAATGCTGC